GAAGCAGAACACCAACTGAAATGAGCTCAAGCAGAGCAGCAGCTGAAACGAGCTGAAACAGAACAACAGCTGAAATTAGCTGAAGCAGAACAACAGCTGAAATGAGCTGAAGCAGAACAACAACTGAAATGAGCTCAAGCAGAGCAGCAGCTCAAACGAGCTGAAACAGAACAACAGCTGAAATTAGCTCAAGCAGAACAACAGCTGAAATGAGCTGAAGCAGAGCAGCAGCTGAAATTAGCTGAAGCAGAACAACAGCTGTAATGAGCTGAAGCAGAACAACAACTGAAATGAGCTGAAGCAGAGCAGCAGCTGAAAGGAGCTGAAACAGAACTACATCTGAAATTAGCTGAAGCAGAACAACAGCTGAAATGAGCTGAAGCAGAGCAGAAGCTGAAAGGAGCTGAAACAGAACAACAGCTGAAATTAGCTGAAACAGAACAACAGCTGAAATGAGCTGAAGCAGAACAACAGCTGAAATGAACTGTAAAAGGTTGTAAACAGCTTAAAGGGTATAAAGGACTTGAAGAGAGCTTCATTCATGTTCAACGAGGAAAACAGGTCAGACAAAGCTTAAACTGCAAAATACCAAAAGTCACAGCAGAAATGTGCTGCATGAGCCAAACGGTTTGATTGTTGAAACAGAACAAAAACTGAGGAATGGGTTACGAGCTGAAAAGTGTACAGAAGCTAAAATGATCTTAGTGAGAATGATTCAGAAACATTCACTCAATAAAAGAGTTGCTTATTATTTGTTTTAAAAAGTCATAACAGCCTAAAAGACACCAGTTTGGGTTCTAAAAGCAAAAGTAATGATGTAAATGATGCTTTTAGCTAAATGCCCTCAGGCTGAGTTTGTCCAGAACCCGACGGGCTCCAGCAGGAGGCTGATCAAAGTCTGTGGACCTTTGCCTCACCACTGATCTTCCTGCTTGTGTCCTTCCAGGTGTGCAGAGACCGCAGATGCCAAAATGCCTCTTTCACCGAGCTGGAGACTTGCATCGCAAACTGTCACGGCCATGGGGTACGCACGTGCACGTACACACAGTATCCTGCTGCAGAGCTAACTCACTTAGCTTCCAGGCAGTTTCCTAATCTTATTGTCACACTGTGTCCTTGGGCTAAGGGAGCGTTTTGCAGCAATTCACAAAGTCTGTTAAATGCTGGAAAATAAATGGCTGGAATACAACGGCAGCCGAAATGATGAAGTATTCAGCAGAGCGGTACAAGCAGGCTCCTGGCAGATAAGGAGGAGGCATACATAGTTTATGAGTCAGTAACCAGGCTTTGGAGAGGAATGGTCTGAGTTAAAACGCTCATCAGTTCAACAGAAACAAAGAAGTTTGAGTATTTGACCTAGAAACATCATCCTATTAATAATCCTCTTCAAAGGAAAGTTCATCCAACACCGCATGCTGCTAATCCATAACATCAGTAGTTTTATCACTTATTGCTAACACGCTAAACATTTGTTAAATAGTATCTATGTTAGGGAATTTTTGGTCAAAGTTTATGGATGTTTTCAACTACTATGGCTGAGAATGTTAACTCTGCCCATGAACCATATGTTTGGGTTAGTAGATGCTGGGTGAGGAGCTGGGTGAGGCTGCATGCAGCTGTCCCTCCAAGGACACCTCTGAGTCTGTGAGCCTGGCTGAACTGATAAGAGTATAAAAACAACTTCACACACTGCCCATGACAGATTCTTATGACTGCTCTTCATGTGTACTTCCTGTATATCTGTGTAACCTGTCCTCAAAGTCTGACCTTGCAAGTAAAATACCAGTTAAAAATCTTCTGCTGTGGAGTGTGGCTCCTACTGAGTAAGTGAGATAAGGCGAGAACGTTTTTCTCCAACAATCTATGAAGAAATATAAAATAAAATGTAGGGCTCCAGTAACCCTCAACACATGTTAATGTGTTGTAATATAAGTTTTTTTTACAACTAACTCAATTTGCCTATTAAATTTAACAAATTAAAAGCCCAGTTTTGTAAGATTGGGACATTGTGTCCCAACTTGAAAAAGAACTCAATCATTTGCAAATATGAAAAAACACATTTTAATTTTAATGGAACATAGTGCACTTATCAAATATTGAAGCTATGAATTTGTACAGTTTTTATACGCCTGTCAAAATGCACATTATTTTTAGTACAGTCTTTGTCTGTTTCTATGTCCGTAAATCGTCTCTTGTCCCGCCTGTAACTTCTGATCCGCTCAAAATAATTTATTGAAACTTCATACTCATCACTCAGTGCTGCGTAAGGTTTTCATCGCACCAGCTCCATGGTCAAGGTCGCAAATCAAGATCATCGTTACACAATTTCTTTTCTTGTCTGAGCCGTTGTTATAGATTACTGTATAATATTTTGTTGACAGGCGTATTCTTGTTCTTCTTTAGGAAAAAAAATAAAAATTTGAATTTGATGGCAGCAATATATTGCAAAAAGATTTGGACAGAGTTATGTTTGGCCACTGTGAAATATCCCCTCTTTTAACAACAGTCTGTAACACTGTGAAGATACGCTGTTGTCATGGAAACAGGCCATGTTTTAACATTGTCCTGCTGAAATAAGCAAGGCCTTCCCTAAAAGACATCTGGATAGGAACAGAGGTTGTTCTAAAATCTGCAGATACTTTTCTAGATCGCTGTTGTCGTTTCAGATGTGTAGGCTTTGCATGCCATAGGCACTAATGCACCCCCATACCATCAGAGAGGCACATTTAACAGTCTGGATTATCTTTCTGCTTTTGTAGGATGTGGCATCTGTAGTTCTGGATGGTGGTCACATTCTTCTTCTTTGTCTGATAGAGTTTTAAGCAGCATCTGTGGATGAACTGTGTTTACAGACAGTGATCTGTGGAAGTGTTCCTGAGACCAGAACAGAACCAGACCTGGTTTTAATCTAGTAGCCCCTGAGGGCCTGAAGGTCACGAACATCCAATACTGACTTTCAGCCTCGACCTTGGAGCTCAGAGATTTTCCACAGATTCTTCTAATCTGTTGACCTTTTACACAACTTTACACACTACTTTAAAAAATTATAGTAAAAACACATGTACATTTTTAATGTAATTCATTTTTGTTTTTCAATCAATTTATCCTAACATAATGACTTTTTACAATAATTTTACTAGTAATTGAAACCTTACTGCAATTTCTGGACTATAGAGCGCACCCGAATATAAGCCGCACACACTAACTTAAAGAATAAATAAACTATTTTGTACATATATAGGCCGTGCTTGTGTAAAGCCGCAGGTGTTCAGGTTGTAACGTGAGATATTTACACCAAAATATTTTTTAAATTTTAATTAAATACGTACATACACATACAACATACACAAAAACGTACAGTAAATGTTTAATCAATGCTTTTAACACGGCTGGTTAAAAAATAAAAAAAAAAACAGTATCTTACCAGGAAAAAAAAAGTCACCGATCACGATCTTCATCTTCCTCCTGTGCACTAAAATTACCAAAGTCTTCGTCAGTGTCAGAATTGAACAGCCCCAGAAGAACTTCATCAGACGTCCTCAGTCTCTCTTTCATTGTAGAAAATATACTGTAGTCTTAAGTCATTGATCGCCCTCTTCATACTCCTCCTGCTGCAAGCTTGTGCTCTGCAGAGCAAAAGTTGCTCTGTGCATGGGGGGATCCGCGCCCCCCCCCCCTTCATTGGTCTACTGTGACCTATTAGGTAATTCCATTGGTCAGATTTTTTTTTACCTTTATTTATACAGGTAGTTTCATTGAGTCATAAGAACACCCCCCACACCCAAAAAGGAGACATGTATTGGGCAGCTATATGAGCATCTGGGTGTGACAAAGTTAAATGTTTTTGGCTGCAAGAAACTCATTAGCCTGTCCAACAAAAAATAAATAAAAAATCCATAAATTAGCCACAGCATTGTATAAGCTGCAGTGGAAAAAGCCAAGTAGGTATCTCTGCAGACAAATACGGAAGGCATATCTGGAGGGCTACGTCTGATTGGATGGACATAAACAAGGCGTTAATGGCAGATTGTGTTAAATGTCTGTGGTGTTAACCGGTTTGACATTAGCGACGTCCCTGGTTCCACATTGGCGGCGTCTCCATAACTTCTCTTTCCACCTCTCTTAACACAGAACTTCCGGTTGCATTTCAAAATAAGAGCAACATAAATGGGTAGTGTGGAGAGCTAAATGTTTTTTTTTTTAATAGCCATTACATTAAAAAAACAAAATCAGTTTTGGTTGTTGAATAATGTGAAAATAGTTACAATCAATTCATAAATAAAGAAAAATAAAGTAACCAAAATAATAATGATACTTAAACTGGCTTTGGGACAAAGGATGTTTCCTTTAACTTCACATTTTCTTGTTCAACCTTCAGATGAGTGATGGTCAGTTTCTGTAAGATTTCTGTAACTGGACCAGGTATTTCTGTTTACTGGTTAACTTCCTCAGCTGTCTCACATTTTAAGGGGCAATCCTACTCCATGTTTCAGCTCCTTTCATAGATCAGATCTCATAGAAGAACATCTAAAGCGAAAATTTTGTTTTGAGCTTTTGTTTTGGGCCATTATCTCATTACAGGACTCATGATCTTTAATTGAGACCAGATTTTTTTGACAAAGAGGAGCAGGTTTCGGTTCAGATGCTTCATATTTCATTGTACCCAGACCACACTCAAGCCAACCTGTGTCAGGTGCAGCTACAATCAAGAACAAAAGAGAATCTTCTTGTGTTTGACAGTAGATATAACACTGATTCTTATAAACCTTCAGTTTTAAAAAAGAGTCAGAGTCAGAGTCAGAGTCAGAGTTTCTTTATTGTCATTCGCACCTCATGTGGTACATGTGGTGGAGCGAAATTATGTACGCAGGGTCCCAGTTACATCCAACAATAAAATGTATAAGAAAAACAGTAATGACATCTAAGATATGAACTAAGAAAAACATCAACTAAATATACACTAAGCACTCATAACATAAAACATTGAACATCAGCACAAACATGAACATGAGTCTGTGAGCAGATGTGCACGCATGAACACATCAACATTGAAACAGATCAGCAGCAACATGAAACAGATCAGCAGCAACATGATATGGTTTTTCACAGTGATTATTCTAGTTAGAGATTCATGAGTCTAACAGCCTCAGGGTAGAAGCTGTTCCTCAGTCTAGTGGTTCTACACTTAATGCTCCTTAACCTCCTTCCTGAGGGGAGTGGGGCAAAAAGTGTGTGTGCTGGGTGGGTGGGGTCTTTCATGATGCAGGTGGCCCTCTTCCTGCATCTGGAGGTGTAGATGTCTGTGATGGTGGGGAGACTGATTCCAACAGATTTCTGTGCAGCCTTCACCACTCTCTGCAAAGCTTTTCTTTCTGAAGCTGTGCAGCCTCCATGCCACACATTGATGCTGGAGCACAGGATGCTCTCCACTGCACACCTGTAGAAGGAGGTGAGGACTGAGCTTCCCAGACCAGCTCGCCTCAGCCGTCTGAGGAAGTAGAGTCTCTGATGAGCTTTCTTGATCAGGCTGGTGGTGTTGTTGCTCCAGCTGAGGTTGTTGTTCATGTGTACACCCAAGTACTTGTAGCTGGAGACCACTTCCACCGCAGATCCTGCGGTGCAGATTATCTGCACCGCAGATAAAAGAGCTGATGTAACTTACCTAAAGAGCAGCAAATACAGCTAGCCAATCAGTGTTTGCCCTCTAGAAACGCCTATTCTCCAGAAACGCCCACTTTTGGCCTGCAGAGAACCCCTTCTCAAAAAAGCAGCAGCTTATAGTCCTTAAATTACGGTAATTGTAGCTCGTTTGTTTGTGTTTAGAATCAAACTTTCTTGAATCAGAGCATTTAAAGCAGATCCAGCTGAAATCCCCCTCAGAAGTCTTGGAGTCCCTATTTGCTTCATAGACTGAACTGTGTATGCGATAAGAGAGTTTACCGTGGACCGAGCTCGTTTTTGACCAGGATTTGAAATATTCTGAGAAAGAAACAGAAGATTAGATGTATTTTCTTTCGTTGCTTT